GTCTGTTTACAACATGGCTTAGTAAGTACTTTTAGCCCACCGTTGAGACCCTACTGCTCAGAAGAAAGACTCCAAATCACTGCTCATTGACAGTGCCCCTGGCCACCGCAGAGCTGTGGTGGAGATGCACAATGATATGGATGCCATTTTCATGCCTGCTCACACAGCATCCATTCTGCAGCCCAGGGATCAAGGAGTCATTTCAACTTTCAAGTCTTAGGATTTCATAAGGCCATAGTGATTCCTCTATGTGCCATACACAGTGATTCCTCTGGTGGCTCTGGGCAAAGTCAGTTGAAGCCAAAGCCCTTCTGGAAAGGAGTCACCATTCTAGAGCCATTAAGAACATTCCTGATGCATGGGCAGAGGTCACAGGGTCAGCATTAACAGGAGTTTGGAAGAAGCTGGTTCCAGCCCTCAGGGATGACTTTGAGGGGCTCGTGGTTTCAGTGGAGGAAGTCACTGCAGATGTGGTGGACACAGCAAGAGAACTAGACTTAGAAGTGGAGCCTGAAGATGGGACTGAATGGCTGCATCTCAGGATCAAACTTGCACAAATGAGGAGTTGTTTCGTATGGGTGAGCAAAGAAAGTGGTTTCTTGAGATGGAATCTGCTCCGCGTGAATACGCTGTGAAGGTCACTGAAATGGCAACAAGGATTTAGAATATTTCATAAACTAACTTAGTTGATAAAAAGTAGTGGCAGTGTTTGAGAGAACTGACTGCAATTTTGAAAGAAGTTCTGTGGGTAAAATGCTATCAAACAGCATCACATGCTGCAGAGAAATCATCTGTGAAAGGAAGAGTCAGTAAATGTTAGCAAACTTCATTGTCTTATCTTAAGAAATTGCCAGTCTCCCCAGCCTTCAGCAGCCATCAATACTGAAGCAAGACCCTCCATCAGCAAAAAGAGTACAGCTTGCTGAGAGCTCAGATGATGGTGAGCACTTTTTATCAATAAACTATTTTTTAAGTAAGGTTTGCATATTAGTTTTTTTAAACATAATGCTATTGTACACTTAATAGACTTGTGTAAACATAATGGGGGAACCAGAAAGTCCATTTGACTTGCTTTATTGAGGTACTCACTTTTTGCGGTGGTCTAGAACCAAACCCACAGGACTTCCAAGGAGTGCCTGTATGTAGTTGGTATAAGTTAGTTCAAAAAAAAGGATTTTTCAGCAAGCATCTAACAAGTCAAATATTGGAGGGGTAAGATTCACCCTCTAGGCATCAAGACCCATGGCCTGGCCCTGCCCAGTGTCAGCCTTGTTTCCTGGCTCTGCTGCTTGCTTTCTGAGCACCTCCACGCCACACTTGTCCCGCCTAGAGATTGCAGAGCACACTTGCTCCCTCCAGGCCTTGTGGTGAGCACTGGCATAGCCCGCAGCCTAGTGGCTGGACTGATGGTTAAGGCTGCAGCGGAGCTGCTGAGGGAGATGACCAGGTGACACATAGCACTGGCCCTGGACCTTGTGTGTTCTTCTCTCTCTGCCACCTCCGAGAGTGAGCTGGAAGCTTTCGGCTCTTTTGAGAATCTGCTCAGCAAAGCAAGCTTTGGGTTCTGTAATGGCCTGGCTTGCATCCCCAGGTAGGAGCAAACCCCATGAGGCTGCATTTATGAGAGGCCATAGGGGAGTCCCATGATTCAGCCTGCAGGGTCTCCTGACTATTACTTTAGGGGAAGTGCACCTCTCAGGACTTGAGGATGACCACAGAAGCATCCAGAATTGGGCCTGCTGTACCTGCCGTACCTGTGAGCTCTTCCTGTTACCTCTGTCCTGTTCTCTGCCTGTGCCCTGGGTGCCTCCTTGAGACAAGCTATCTGCACCATGGAGGGGTGACAGCTCCTGGTGGGCACCCGCTCTCCCACTGCAACGCTTCTCGCTTCCATCCTCTGGCACCTTCCACTAGCAAAGACTGATTGTAATCATACGGTGCTGTTCAGTGGCTTGAGACAACACTCTCCACGGGATGATCCCCCTGTAGAAGGAGTTTTAGAGAGGGAGCCCATTTAATCCCTGTTGGGGATACGTCTGTCATTGGGAGAAACTTCATGAGGGAGGAATACCTGTCCCTTCCTTACACCTCCTGGCTCATGACTGGCCTATCAGCCCAGACCTGCCTACCCACCCCCACCCCTTGGCTGCCAGAAAGGAGGGAGGAGACATTCCGATGCAGCCAGCCCATCCGGGGTTGTATGTCACTGCAGCCTGCTCACTGTTTCCAGAGCTGTTACCAAAGCCCCGCATGTGCTATTGCCTGTGTGGCACTCAGCATCATCCTCTCTCAAGTGTCCACTGGTGTTATGTTGATGTGAGCCACACTTGCAGTTGTCCTGGTTGGTCCTTCATAAAAATGTCTTGATGCTTGGAGTCATAAGTATGGTTGATGTGTGGTTCACCACACGGGACAGAACCACAAACAAAGTGAAACCCTGCCATGCTTGAGAAGGACTCAGCAGGTCCTTTGCTGGATCAGTGGCTTGTGCACATGTGTATGTATACATGCATGCGTGCATGCACACATGTCCTGGTGGAAACACAGATGCACAAGTGTGGGAGTCAGCAGGCCTCTGTCAGCAGGAGCGTTGAATGTGAGTCAGGCGTTGTGTGTTTGCTCATTCGTCCTTCAGAGGGGGGCTTCCTTAAAAGAGATGTCGTGGCTTACCAGGCACTTCTGGGTCTGGGTTGTACACTGACCCACTCCTCAGGTCTGGGATGGAGAGTAATTTTACCTTCCTCCAAGGTGTGCATGTTGGGCACCCACCAGGCTTCCAGAAGCAGCCCTGTCAGCACCTACTGATTGTCTAGCTGCCTGCTTGGGCTCCCCCAGGGTGGCAGGGGATGCCTGTCCGGTAGCTGATGGACTGTGCATGCCCAGCAGGGGTGGCCTTTGTGTCCTGGTGCTACCTAGAAAGAGATGAAGTGGTACATGGACTCCAGAAGATGCTAGTGCATGAGAGGAGAGCATCTCAAGTTGAACAAGCCTTGGGTTTACATTTACTTCATTTGAGGAGTGTGGGCTTAATGTGGAGCTAATACTATTGGGATAAGCTGGACTTGAGAGCTAGAGGTCCTGGAAAAGCATCACGACCTTCTTGGGGGCTGCCCCTGTCCAGAGACCTCCTGTATCACCTAAGATTACATTCCAAGTGGGAAAATCAAATCAGGAAGACCTGTGATGTCTGCAGAACCAGCTTTCAGTGAGGCTCTCTTCTGGAACATTGTTCTGGAAGACAGGGAGGGTCAGGAGAAAAGCATCTGATTTGTTTAGCTCTTGCATATCCTGTTGATCTTCCCCTGTTGGGCACATGGATTTGACTATTGTGAATTTGCTGAGTTTTCATCCCTTATCCACTGGTGACTCTTTCCTGATCTTTACAAATAAATGCTGGTGGATACTTTAGAGTTTTCTGTTGAGATCAACATCTCACCATATCCCTCTCCCACCGTATTCTCTGTTTAGTTCAATAGACAAGGGCTGATTTATTCCTGGACCTCGTGTCGTAGTCCCGAGAAACTGGATCTCTCAGGTGAAAGCATTATGAGTTGCTGGGAGGAGTTAGCAAAAACAGCACTCTGGCTTCTTCCCAACCAGTTCGTATCCCAGTGCACATAGAAACTGCCTGTGTTTGCTTGGCACAGTGAGGACACAGATGAGGCTTCTAAGGTCACAGGTGTCTCCCTGGTCAGGTGGCTTCAGCTACTGGGAAGCCTGACATGGGCCCCTGGAGCCCTGCAGCTCATCCCCTGCACTTACTATACTGGTGGGGAAATTCCATGCTAAATAAGACCTATTCAACTACAGGGTCCACCGGATTCCCTCCTCCGCCAGAGCTGAGATGGTAGAACTAGAAAAGAACAGTTTGGACCAGTAGTGGTGATACTAGTGACTAAAGCTTATCGCTGCTGGGCTCATGCAAGGGATGCTGCAGGAACTGGCTGAATATAAGGCCCTGTAAGGTCATGCTATTCGTGTCCTGATTTTACTGTGGCCGGAGAAAATAGGGGGGCAGGCCTGGGTTAGGAAGCTGTGGAGCTAGAAGGCACATGAGCCCCGGGTCCTCAGGCCTCCGTCCTACCCGCCCTCCGATGCCCAGAAAATACACATCTGTAATCTAATGGACCAAGCAAAGTGGAAACACATACACTGTTGAAAGTACTAGTTCAGAGTATGTGATAAAAACATTCAGCTTTTTTATCCATGAGAGAGCAGTCTGTGAAATTAATAATTAAGCAAGATGGTTTGGAGAATTACATATTTGAAAATACACTCTTCCTGATTATATAAAAGTAACATATATTGTTGTAATAGAAATAGAAACATTTAAAGAAGCATAGGAGGAGTGAACGTTGCAGCATGTCATGATAGCTGCTCTCGGTGTCCTTACGTATCTTTCCTGGCTGCTGACCTCTAACCACTGTGGGTGCTAGTTGTCATGAGTTTTCACTGAAACAGATTAGATATTCAGCAGAGTAGCCTGGGGGTGTAAGTATAATGTAGCTCCTTAAGGAGGACGTGTGTCTCTCCTTCCCCAAGATAAAATACTCTCTTGCTTCCTTCAAAACAGCTATTATACATTCATTGACATTTAAATCTATATTGAGTGATAAACTTGCACAAAATATTACGTGATTAAGATAAAAGAGTATGCATAGCATGGTCCTCTTTGGGAAAGTAGATTATTTAATTACTGGGAAAAAAATATAAATACCTTTCTTCTCCCCTGGACAGTTTAATTGGCTCTCGGGTTTTCTCCCAGTATGTGAAGGCTGGTGGACTTTTGGTGATGAGATCTGGGACCCATTCGAGCTTGGTACTGAGTTTGTGTAGTCTCCAGATTGGTGTGCAGTGAACACATCATGCAATCAGAGAAAAGCCACCGTGACTTTGTAGTGAAACGTGTTTTGTGATGTGCTTCATGTGCAGGGTAGTGGAGACATGGAGGCAGGGTTGCTGACTCTGGGGTCCGCTCACTCCTCTTCTCTCTGTTCCAGGAAGGTGTGGAAGTGCGAGTGGCAAGGATTTTCAACACCTTTGGGCCCCGCATGCACATGAATGATGGGCGGGTCGTCAGCAACTTCATCCTGCAGGCTCTGCAGGGGGAGCCACTCACGGTAGGTGCAGGCTCTGTGCGCCCAAGAATGTAGATGTAGTCTGCCCAGGGACGGCCATGTGTCTTCATTCAGGGGTTTCCCTGAGTTAGGTATCTCCCTGCTGCCCTCAGTGATGAGGGGATCACATGGCCCGAGTCCAGAGGGCAGTGGTTCTGGACATCAGCCAGCTCACCCTGCTCTCCAAGCCCACAGACAGCCTAGTGGGGGCTGCAGGCTCCATCCACTCTGCCTGCCTGCAGAGACCTGGACACTTTGGGGCCCTGCTGGCTGTTGCCAGGGTGTATTTGTACTCAGGGCCCTCAGATGGTTGAGTAGAGTAATGTGTCCCAGGCAGGTCTTGGCAGTTTTCCTAGAGATGCTCGGAAGCAAGCCCTCTGCCCGTCACTCTCTACCTGGTAGGCTTCTGGAGCCTGGCGGCCATCTGGTGGCCTGCAGTCAGTGGTTCTAGTGAGTAGTGTGGGTGAGACCGGCCCTCAGGGTGGCCTGCCCACTCCACACCCGTCTCCACCACCCCCTTTGCCCCCCCTGGGGGGACACCCTTGGCCTCGCTCAAGGAGTTCAGTGGTGACAGTCGGTTTGTTTTCTTCAGTTTTGCAGAATCCACAAAGCCTCCCCTTCCTCCTCTGCCTGCTTCTCTTTCCTCCTACCTTTCTCATTGCTCCACCAACCCTCCTCCTCTGCTTCTTTGCTCTTCCAAGCGGTGGTTTCTGTGGCCCTTTCAAGCTTAGTGCATAGTGGGTATGCAGAGTAGGTCAGTGTTCTGTTGCTCTGAAAATTATGTGGGATGGCTTCTCAGCTGGGGGGCTGTAAATAGAGGACCCGCCCATCACTCTGCCCCTCTGAACCAGGCTTCTGCTTTCTGCACTTACCATCAACAGAAGCATCATTTTCCCAGTTTCCAATGCCCTTGGGAGTGTAAACTTTGAAATCAGGAACTTTGTTTCAATCATGGCTGTGTCTCCCTCCACTCCAGAAATGCTGGTCAAATTGAAGGTTTGGTTTCTAGTGGCTGCTTTCCCTTGCGGCGGGCACAGGTGCCTAGGGACTCCTCCTAAAAGCCAGCAGGGACAGTGCTCCATGGTGAGCCTGCCCTCCTCCCACATGCCCATCTGCCTGCCTCACGGGCTCCCGGGGTTCCTTCATGGGCCTCAGCCCAGCTGCTCTGCTGGGACGTCCCCACCCCCAGGAATGCCCCTGGTGCACTCTGCCCTCCTCTCGGTGGCTGCATCACCAGATCAGAGCCACTCTCTGTAGAGTGAGAAGCCTCTGAGACAGCTCCTTAATCTATTACCTCCCGGGCAGCAGCAGGGCTCCAAGTGTCAGGTGGGAGAGCAAGTCCCCAGCCTGCCCCAAAAAGGCACCTATTATGGGCAGGCGTCATAACTCATGTGCTGTCTCCACGCCTTGAGGGTGTCTGTGCCCAGAACAGGAGGAGAAAAGTGGCTGGTGCCCACAGGGCTGCAGTTAGTCTGGGACAGGACAGGCTTAGTCTTCTCTAGACGCCTCTGGTGGCAGGAGGCAGGCCCCAGGGAGGCTTTTCAGAATGTCTATTTTTCATCTTGTCACAGTGATCTATTTCCCTTCAGGGGTTTGATGAAGTCGCCAACTTTTCGTCCCTTTCTGCCCAGTTGAGATGGCTTTTCTCGCTTCTGTTGGGTGGCCCCATGGAGAGGTCTCGGAGGTGGGGGTTCATGCATCATGGCTCTGATCCAGCCCGTCCTTGGGAACTCTGTTTCCTAGGGAAGAAGAAGGAAGCACATCTACTTTTTTCCTTTTCTGCTGTGTTGCCAACCAGTTGTTTCTAAGACTTAAGACCTCCTCAGTGGCAGTTGGAAACAGCTCAAGATCTTGTCTTCCTGTTTCCAAACCAGATTAATGTAACCACTAGTGTTCCAGCTGCTTTGTTCTGAAGCCCTTTGTCCCGTTATCTCTGGAGACCTCACTCTTCAGCTGTGCTCAGTGTCTTCATACACTGTGGCGGCAGGTGCCGGCTGGGCTGCCTCAGGGAGTGTGCTGCTGAGTTCTGTAAGTCACACACAGAGGCTCTGGTCTAAGTTGAGTCCCATCAGCTCAGACAATATCGTGTCCAATTTTGAACGTTTAGGAAATAGGTGAGTGTGGTTCAGGTGGAACTAGCTGATTCAGTTTACTTTGAAGAGACTATTTTGCAATCCAGGGTGAATGCACCCATTCACAATAGGGTTTAATGATGTTTAGACACCTGACTGTGATTTATTCTAATTTGCAGAGTAAACAACTTTATTGAGATGAATTTTTCCAGGATAGCCTGGATGTGGAAGAATTGGAGTTTCAATCTGGGTCTGTATCATTTAAAAAGCCTTGCTGTTTTTCCAGATTTTAGAGAAACTGTACTTCTAAGACCAGTCCAAACTCGGCATTTTATTTGCCCTTCCTAGCAACAATGTGGCATCATAGTGTTTCCTAGCTTTGGGTCTTCATTCGTGAAGAGACGAATCAGCATCTTGGGCCCCAGGGCAGAGCAGTGGGGGTGCTGCCTTGCTGCCTGGGCAGGCTCCCCGTGCCCAGCACGGGCTGGCCTCCCTGTCTTGGTGTTCCTGATCACCACACCGCATTACCTGCAGTTACCCAGGCCTCAGTAGGCACCTGAATCCTCTTGTGTCTCTCCCATTGTCTGAAATGATGCAAAGCTACTCTAGGTCAGGGTGTCTTCTCTTAGAGGAAACAGGACAGCTTTGGGGGGCCATTCAGACATTCACAGTTGTCTCCATTACCTGCATCATGTGCTCATGCTTCTGCCTGGTACCAGGTTTGTAAAGGAGATGTGGTCTCGCCCTGCTGGTCCTGCTGGTCCTTGCCGTGGGAGGGAAGTGCACAGGGGCCGGGGCAACATGTTTGATGAGTAGTGGGGTGGCACAGCACCTCTCTCACACACAACCCCCTTTGTCACATTGAGCACACACAGAGTTCAGTATTATAGTAATTCTAAGTCCTTGTATTGCAAAATGCTTTGTGGATTATATAGGGAGGCTGATTTAGACCAAAGTCCAGATGTGATGGGCATTATAGTATAGAAACTTAAATCCAACAGGCCTCTGGCCTTTATAAGGACTCCAGGGAGGAAGGGTCCAGGGGCACTGCTCACATTGCATGTCAGCAAACACAGGCTGGAGCGCCTCTTTAAGGCTGCATCACTGACAGGACCAGTGGAGTTAGACTGGGTGTCCCCAGGCTCCACACATCCCTGCCTGGGTATAGGGACTTTCCCCCAAGGCCAGGTCCACATGGATATCAAGTGGAACCATGGTGGAAGGGGCACCTGCGCAGGGACCTGCAAAGGGCACAGTAATGGGCCCTGCAGGGAGCAGGCCAAGCTCTGGGCACCCAAGCCTGTGGCCACAGGGTCAGGTGTCAGGTGGGGAGGTGTGCCTGAAGACAGCCTGGCCTCTTGGCTGGGACTGCCCCCTCTTGGAGGAAACTTCGAGCTAGGCACAGCATAGACAGGTTACTTCAATCTTCAGGAGCTTTTTGGGACCCCATTCTGTAGCTCTAAACCTTTCTTTGGGACTATGTGTCATTTGAGCTACTGAGCATCTCCATCATAATTCCATTGTTCCTTTTCTTGAGATGGCATTTGGTGTGGTTCTTGGGAACCCTCACCCTGGGGGCCCCCTTTACCATGTCCACTACATGGTGCCCTGAGTCGCGTTCCTTCCAGCATGTCTGGGTGAGACAAAGCAGTGCCTCTGCTCATACTATTGTGGGCCAAGCTCTGTGAAACGGTGTATGGTGGTTCATCACAGCCCAAGGGGTGATCTGACTGGAGACCCAGCCTTCAGCCAGACGTGCAGAAGGCCTTTGCCACTGCCAGCACAGTGGGCTTTCCGTGGCATGGCTGGAGCCCAGCAGCACACCTGCTGCCCCACTGACTGCAGTCAGAGTGGGCAGGGGGTGGCTGAGGAAGCAGGCAGAGGTTTGTGTGCACCTCGGCTGTGACCAGGGTCTTGCCTAAATTTGATGCTCACATTTCCATGAGGTTGGGACCGTGGCCCAGTGCCCACTTTCAAGTGATAGTTTATACCTGAAACCACAGGCAGTTGGAAGCTGTTGATGCACTGGGGTAGGAAGAATCCTGAACTTGGGGCCAGGATAGATTTTACTCAGCTGGATGCAGATCACTCCAGCGCTCTGAGCTTCTAAAATAAGGTTGTAAAAACAACAATACAAGTGTTTTTAAACCTACTAGCGGGCTGCTAGGTGCAGGGAGTGTCTCCAGCCTGACAGACTGGCAGTGCTGTAGTGGACGGACCCTCTTCAACTTACCCAGGTCTGTCACCTCCTTTCTGACTCACCCAAGTGTATTGTATGGGTCAGTGAGGCCAGAGAACTGGTTCCAACAGAACCTCCAGGGAAGGGCAGGCCTGCGTCTGAGTCCCACCGTGTCTCCCCCGGTTTTCCTTTCTGAGATTCACTGCCCTAGTTACACAGCGCACAGACAGCAGCCTCCCAGATCAGTGACCCAGTGTCTTCTCACTGAGGCCCTGCACCAAAGTGGGTGGGTAGGTCAGATGAACCTAGACATTGGCAGGTGTCACTGCTTCCAGGATATTAACAAAAGCAGCCTTTTCAACCTGCTCTTAAAAAAGGTGGGGGGTGGGCGTGTGCGGCAGGCTTCCCTACCTTCTCTTCACCTTTCTCTGCCTCCTGACTGGGGGAGCTGAGCCCTGGGAAGGAAGGCCAGTGGGGCTGATCTCTGCTGCACAGCTGTTGGTCTCTGGCCCCACTTGGTGTCAGGTGACTGGGGGAGGTGGTGCTGGTATAATCGGCCCTGGAAATCTGAGTGTTGCAGAAAGCAGTCCCTCCTCCCATCTGCCGCCTTCCACCGCAGCAAGCAAACAAAAAAACCTCCTTGGCTTTGACATTTCATTGTCTATAGGGCTAAGGGGTCTGTCAGAGAGTCTCTGTTTGCATCTTTGCATTCTCATTAAGTGTGTAAACTGCAGAACTCTCAAGGTTACGGATCAGCACATGTTCACGGAATGCTTGCTTTGTGCTGGGCTGCAGTAGGGCAGAAATGAGTCAGATGCCATTCCTGTCCCAGGGAGGAAGCTGGGGAGGATCGCTGGGCACAAAGGGCAGAGCCCTTCGTTCTTTCATTGGGGGATGAGCCGGAGGAGATGTCACAAGGAGGGGCATCTGGGCTGCTCCTGAGAAATGAGTCACACTTGGCCAGGTGAGGAGTAGATGAGGGAATTTGTAGTGGGTGGAACGCAGGTGGAGCCGTGGAAACATGCACAAGTAGGCACAGGAGCCTGAGGCAACCTTTCCTGCCTCTTGCCACCTCGGTCTCTTATCCAGGATCTCCGGGTTCTCACACTCAGCCACACGTTTGAATCACCCAGGGAACTAGCTGTAAAAATTGAGGTGCCCGCCTCATCCCGAGATTCTGTAGACTAGTCTTCCCTGGGTGCCCAGCTGTTCTGTGGACAGTCAGGGTGGAGGGCCCACGTTGGGCATGTTGCTGACTGCTTGGATGTGGGCCTGTCACCCTGCTGGACCTGAGATCCAGGCCCCAGCACCTGGCACAACAAGAGACTAATAGAAGCTGACTCCCTTGGACTCCATCTCTTCAGGAGAACCTTGTGCGTGCACGCATGCACACCTTAGGCATTTCTGCACCTTCACACGGTCAGGGCATAATTATGATGTACGAAATGTGGGTCGTGGCATCACAGTCCCTTTAGCATCAGTTTTGAGGTCAGTCTGCGTCCCTGGAGTTTTAAGGAATCCTGTTTTCCAGCGTGGTTTCCTTGGGGGCCCTAACTGTTGGTGTCCTCCTAGGTTTACGGATCCGGGTCGCAGACGAGGGCGTTCCAGTATGTCAGGTAAGGCAGTGGGGCCGTTGCACACCTGGGTCCTAGCGGATGTGGTGCAGACCCAACAGTCTCGGTCTGTTTCATACTTTATTTTCAGGACTCTAACATTGTGGTTATAGGTCAGTTTTTAAAGTTAATTTTAATTTTCAGATGGCGAAGCTCTTGCAGTTCTCCGTTTGAAAGTTAAAATTTTACACATCTGACTTTTATGACTCATGCTGATCTTTTACTGCCACCTAGTGTTTTATAGGTGAATTTGCCCAGCTTTGAGAGTGAATTGGTCCCGGCTCCGCCAGTCTGAGATGCCTTACGTCATCCACCTAGCCTGCCCCTTCCAAAATCATACCCTAGGTGGATGAGGTTTCTGGGAGGAAGATAAGAGAGAGTACCCTAAAGCTGTCCAATTTTGTGCTGAAACTAAATGCAGATAAAAATGTATTTATGAACTTTGTTGAATAGTCTCACATGATAATATTTATTTTCTTGGTAATCTTCAGAAATCTTGTCTTTCGTTGGTCAGTTCAATTGGTGACTAATTTTAAAATGCAGTTTGGGTTCTGAGAGAAGAATAGCCATATACATAGTTACGCATACCAAAGTATTTGCCCCAAGATAAAGTTACAGTAAATTCTGTTTCATTTTTTGGTGTCAAATCATTATAAAACCCAGTTCTACATTTTGGTGCCACGTATTTTCCATTTTCAGTGTGAATATCCTGGAATACCTGTCAATCCAAAAATGCTATTCCTAGTGCCATGAGGCCCTCCCAGAGGTGCTGTTGGGGGTGCAGGTCTGGGAAGTCCCCCTGCCCCACCTTGAGCCTGAGCAACTATACAGACTTCTGTATGATTCTGTGAGAATCTTGGATGGACATCTCTTTGAGAAATAGAGCTGCTAGTAAAAAAGTTATAAATATCAATAAATACAAACAACCACTGTAGATTTTTTCCCTGAAAGTGTTTGTGAATTTTCACATTTAGTGCAAAAGAAAGCTATGAATAAACATTTATAACAGTCAGTGTTTTTTTCTTCCCACTCATTAGTATCTTGCCAAGCAGGGCAAAATGCCTGGGAATATAATAATAGTATGACTGGACCATTTTGGTCCCCAACTATTCTATAAAGGAATTTAACCAGGAAAGAGCAGCTGCCACTCCTCTAGGATTATTTTCAATTCAAAGCACTTTTAACCCAGGAACCATGGTGCATTCTCTGTGGGGGCCACACTAGTGGGACGTAAGTGTATTGAGTACCGTCTTTTTACGGTAACAGGTTTTCAGCCCACCCTCACCCACCCCATCTGTGCACTTTCTTAAAGAGTCTTGCAGTCCTCAGAATTTCCCTGAACATATTGAATTTCCATGAACCAACTCACCAGACGCCCCAGACTCCTCCAGCTGAAACACCCCATGAAGTATTTGTGAGACTGCAGGCAAAGGGAGATAAGAACCCACTGTTCCTGTCCTCCTTATTTCAATGGTGTCAGATACAAAAGTCATTTAGAATAGCCTCAGACTCTTCTCTTGCTAGAATTACCATGTTTTAAGAATTCAGCGATGTACATGCTGCATGCACCCCAGCTCGGGCAGGATGTGCTCACACGGCCTGGCCCATGCGAGGGGCATGGTCTACACATATGATTGTCTCAGAGGCAATAGACAGCTTGGAAAGAGAAAGAACTCAGTGGTTTTACTAGAAATGTTGGTAACCGTTTCAGGAAACCCTCTCTTCATAATGCTGGTTTGTCGTTTCTTCCGTGCTCTGATGATACTCTGTCCAGTCTAGTGGGGTGTGAGGTAACAGGACTTCCGTAACTTTACCAAACTCGAGTAAAGGGTTTTCCTGACATCCACCTTGGTTATTCAAGACCCAGCTGATAATAGTTACCAAAGATTTAGTATTTTTAAATGCTATATTTTTTAGAAACTGAGACTATTTCACTTCATAGTTAAAAATGCACAATGTCTGAATCTGTAGTTACTACATTAACTGCTTCCAAAATCCACAATTGCCATGAAGCAGCATTTCACGGTTTCTGAGATTGAGGTGATCATATGCATTGACATCTTGGCATGACTGTGTTTGACCCTCTCATGGTCAGGTTATGTCCTCATCCACATAACAAAGGCATGCTATGTATTTTTTAAAAAGTCACTTTGTCAAAATGACACTTTTAAAGAGCTTCAGGGTGAAAGAGTGTGATCTGTGCAATTCTGACCTTAAAAGTTGCCAGTTATATAAAAGATCGTGCCCTCACGATGAGGATGACTGCTTAAGAGTCCGTTGTCTTCTAGCTTAATATGGGCCTGCCCCCAACCCCTCCTTTCAGTATTAGAAACAATTGTGGATGCTACTGAATGGCAGCTTTTAATGTCTTTTTACAAACATCCAGAGACGTGTGCCGTAAGAACGTGTTGTGATGTCATCATACTGCCATAGTGATGAAGTGACTTTTTGCCAGTTTCTAGAAAAGAGAAAACATCCAAAGTCAGCGTTATTGGCATTTGTGCTTGATCTTTGAGAATAGACAGACTGTAGGCATGTTCATATACAGTACCCATTTGCTGTAAACAATAACCCAGAAAACAGTTTACTAAATACCCTGCCAAAAAAATTTGTTTTCAATGAAAAAGAGCAAAAACGAAGGTTTTCTTTCATAACTTATTACCATAGTAACCTGCTCCTTGCTGGTAATGATGGAGGAGGAGGAGGGAAAGTTTCAAAACAGATTTCATTTGGATCAGAACAGAACTTTAAAAGTCTTCCAGGAAGTACAGCAGATAGAACAAAGTGCTTGTATGCAGCAGTGAGGTGTCATTTTTACGAAGTAACTTTTTTTTAACAGAGCCACACTTTAAAGCTTCTGAAAATAAGAACCAAACTTTGGTAAGCGAAAATTTGCTTACTTACCGTCACCTTCATGGCCCAGTCAATCACGCACCATTTGAAACATCCAGATATCCTGACTGTTTCATACGAGGCATCGTGGGCGGGTGGGGACTCGAAGGTTGAGGAGAAGGGACAGTGTTCCAACTTCGACCACTCAGTGCTGTCTGCTTTCTCTGTGATTTGCCAGTATGGGAATTACATACTGGAGTGCTTTCATTTCCATGGGTCTTGTTTTCTTTTTTTTAAACCATCTGCTTCTTCATCTGGGCCAACTACCTGGGTTCACATCCAACATGGACTTTCATCAGAAATCTTATAAACTCCATCTTTTTTGGGTGTGTGCCTGTTTTAATTATTAACTGCTGAAAGGTTGCAGGAAGATAGCAAAGTAGAGACCTCAACCCCACCACTAGCTTCCATCCCGTTCCGCCGCGTGTGTGCTCCCACCCACTGAAAGCAAATCCCAGACGCCATCTCACCCATGAGAACTCCAGCATCCTCCACACCCCCTTATTTGCAGCATTTTGTTTTGACATACAGTTTTCCATTCGGGTTTTGCTTTTCCGCGGGAGGCAGCTTGGGTCTGAGAAGCACCCACGTGCCTCCGTGGGCAGCCCCTGACCGGCCTTCCCTTCTTTTCCAGTGACCTGGTGAATGGGCTCGTGGCTCTCATGAACAGCAACGTCAGCAGCCCAGTCAACCTGGTGAGTGTCCCTCCCCTTCCACTTTGTCCAGAGCAGGGCAGAGCTGCATTCCTTCATGAAAGCACCAGGCTGTGCCCTCTTCACCATCAGCACACTGAGGGCAGGCACAGTTGTTGCTTGCTGGGTCCTAGAGAAAAAAGCAATGAAATAAAATGAAGTAAGACCATATGAAGATGTAAAATGTCTGCAAGACATGGATGAGCTGTGTGGTAAACCAGCTCTGTCCACCTGATGACCTAGGTTTAAAACTTGGCAAGGCTTCTGGTGGGAGGTGGGCATTGTTCTGTGTGTATTCCTTTCTCTGTCGCTTCATGTACAGCTAGTCTTGGTAACAGTTGGTTACAGGAGGCTTAGAAGATGGAGGTTAAGGAATTTCCCAGTTACCAGGCACGTCTATAATCAGCTTGCTGCACGGACCACCTCAGCTGCTTCCCGCGGTTCCGGAGCTAGAGGGATTGTGTGGCTGCCTGGCCGGGCCTCTTATCCAGGCCTGAGCACAATAGTGCTGGTGAACATGCTTCTCTTTCTCCTTCTATTTAGAATGAGAATCTCATTCTCTGCGTATCCAGCCACTGCCCTGCCTTCGCTGTATGGGGTAGGGGGCCCATCCAGAACTAGTCCGGTGCCTCTGCCTTGGCTTCCTGAGGATTCCAAGGGCTGGGTCGTACCCGCAGGTCCTCTCTGGGGTCCTTACCCTTATCGTCTCTGGGGCCCTTACCCTTCCGGTCACTGGGGCCTTTACCTTCTGGCCACTGGGGCCCTTACCCTTCCGGTCACTGGGGCCTTTACCTTCTGGCCACTGGGGCCCTTACCCTTCCAGTCACTGTCTTCTGAGTGGCTTCATTCTATCTCACTTAAAATCTGAGGTCTCTGGTATAGACTGTCCCTCATTCAGGATGTCCTGCTTCTGTCAGTGGCATCTGGCACAAGAGTCCCTTAGCCCATCTGAGAGCCGCTGGACAGAACCTAATGCTAGGTACTGTCTAATGCTGGACAGAGCCTGGGATCTCTTTCAGGTGCTTCTCCCAAAGCACCTCTGCTACTCCCTGTGATGGAGCAAGGTTCACAGGTGCAGCCATACCTGCTTATTGCTTCAAATCACTCCACATAGAAACCTTTCCTTATACTTTTCTTTGTAACCATCTATCTTAAGCCTGTTCCGTAGCATCCATTTTTGCTGAGTTGGGAGAGAGTTCTTGCTAGAACTAAGTCAGGGTCTTTCCAAAGATAGGAAAGAATGGGCCCTGGAGATGTCACTCCCATGTGCAACTTTTGACCCACTCATAGGTACCAGTGGCTACAAGCCACCAGCCAGCGCTGCCTTTATGCGCTTTCAAGAAGCATGCAATTAAGAGCAGAATAAGATGTGTCTTATGAGCCTCTGATTTTTTTGAGCTTTTACCTACCTGATGCTTGTAAAGGCCATGCCATCCTCCCGTGTTTCTGCTACATGCCTTTTAAAAAGATAGGCATATCGTCAGAGATTTTCCAGTCATCACACTCTTTTCTTTAGGTAACATATTCCTTCTTTCTTCTCTGGAGGGCCTTTACACAGGGACATTTGGGACCTTCCATCTCTTGTAGAAACATGTCTTTCCTAAAACCTGAAGAGTGTGTCTGCCAGTGGCCCTGATAAAGACAGGATGTGTTCTACAGTCCCTCCTTCCACTTTGTGGCCAGGCCTTTCTTTGCTCATACTTAGGCCCAGAGTTCCTTCCTAGCTCATCTACCTTCTAGCTTCAGACCAAACTAGGAGACTGGCAATGAAGAGTGTTAGGATATAGGATTGCCCAGCTTTATGGGGGTGTCTTATAATGGTTGGGGGTTGGGGAGGTGACAAGTGGGGGCAGCAGAACTGGTAAGGGAGGGGCACTGGCTTCTGTGGTATGTGATGCAAAGACAGAAGGAGAAAACAATTTTCCTTAAAGGTGGCCATAAAGTGGGCTTGTGTTATAAACCACCTGAGTCTTTCCCCTTGGCTTGTCCAGAGCTCTCATCTGGGTCTATTTCATTTCTGTGACAGCTTTCGCATACGAGTTTGCAATCCTTCACTTGTTAACACAGTGCACCCGTAGGGAAATAGATGGTCTTAGGAGAGCTAATTTTGTAGAATCAAACATACATGTAAAGGATACTGCAGTTAGAGTAGGGTTAGATGTGGAGACTGTCCTGGTAACCCCTCTAGGGAGTGTGTGTCTACATTAGGTACACTTGTCTAAGTATGTATGAAGCGTGTTCTTGTCAACAGATGGTTAGTTTGTGGAGGACAAAGGTGAAGACAGATACCATTTAGCACCTTGCCAAGTTGAATAATCATCTTGATCAGGTAAGTGCCTTGATGAGACATGAGTCGGCAGGAGTCTGGTGAATTTCTGAGTTGCCAGAGTTAGCCTGTGACCATCTTTGAAGACATGGTTCAGGTGGTGGGGATGTTTGCTATTGCAAACACTCTTATAACAAGAAACCATTTCTTCCTTAGGGGAACCCAGAAGAACACACGATCCTAGAATTTGCTCAGTTAATTAAAAACCTTGTCGGTAAGTAGAACAAATGCCTTCCTGTGTAAAACCGACTGTCTACTTTACTTCTCAGTTAATAAAATCTTGACTTAGCAATGTATAATTCATACAAGTCAATTGAATTGGATAACAAACAGAACTCTATCAGGAACACTTCATTGTTTTCTGATTCTTTAGTTAAGAGTGGAAAGGTAAAGATGAAGGGTGTGAGAAAGGGAATTGGTTTTGTTCACGGGTGTGGAATGGGAAGGACAGGTTTGTTCCAGGGCCTGAGATGTGATTGTGGTAGATCGTTCTGCACAGGCGCTAATTGTCTGATTCCAAACACCGGCGATGGTGAGCATAAAATTTCGGAGAGCAAGAGTGAGCATCTCCGACTTGAAGGTTGCTGCTGGAATCTGTTGACAAGGTTTCGCTTCCTTTTACAGTTCTGGCCAACCTGGCTCTAAAATAGTGGTGGCAGTGTAGACCCTCTGAGTAGCCCCAGCCCAGGGTGCACTCTTAAGCCATACGAAGTGTGTGTTTTCAGCCCACCTTGGGTTGCAGATGTACACTGGGTGAGCCCTCTGCCACATCAGCAGGCTTACTAGAGCTCTGGGAAGTCTGGCTCTTGGGGAAGGGGAGTTTTCCAGGCTTGATCAAACAATTGGAGTCAAGCACAGCCAGATTGGAGTGTCGTCGGCTAGACTGGGGTGGGTATGATACGGGATGTTCTGAAGGGCCTGTCCACACCTGACACCTAGTTGGATTGATTCCTCAGGGTTGGCCTTCCTGGCATGAGCTGTCATCCGCCAAGGGGTTCTTACCCACTGTGGACAGACGGGCAGGAGAGGGAATGGTCCTCCTTAGACATAAACTCAGCATCTTGCAGCTCCAGCAGCCTCTGTTTACACCTGCCTCCCCAGCTTTCCTATTCTTTGTCCATCCCACCCAAGTGAGGAGGGGACGTGCTCACATAACCACTCGTTTGGGGTCTAGGCCATCTAAAACCTACACCCAAAGTGAGGCCTGGGGGCCTGAGTCTTCATCATCTGGGCATTGGTTAAAAATGGGGAATTGCGCAACTCACCCACGTCTCCTGGATCCGAAGCTGCCCTTTGACAAGGTCCTCAGGTGATCCATGTACTCGCTGAAGTCTGACATGCACTGGTGTAAAACCTGAGTGTGCTGCCAGATAAGCACCATGGTTCTGAGACTGGCCGTGTAACACACCACCCCAAACTGCAGTGGCTTAGAACAGCAACTGTCCTATTTGTTCAGGATTCTGCAGTTAGGACTGACCCCTGCTGGGGGTTTCTTCTGCAGGCCTGGCCGATGGTCACTGGTGTAGCTTCATTCTGCTGGCCAGCGGGGTCTGGGCCGAGCTAGGTGCTGGACAAGCCAGACTTCTCTGTTCTTCACGTCATCTGCCCAGCAAGGTGGCTAGACAGCCTCTGTTCTGGTTTGTGGCTCATTCCTGAAGGTGCTTAAGTATCCAGTCTTCATAATGTGCCAGCCAGGAAATGTCCCATGGTCGCTCCCCCTCGCTCTTCTGGGTGAAAAGCCGGCCTGATTTCAAGCACCAGGCTCCTGCAGGGCATGAACATCCAGGTGCAGCTTCTTGGGGGCATTGATGTCACAGACGACTGCATACCACATCTGCTGTTTTCCTCTTTGGATTCATGCTTGTGGGCACGCTGGCTGTGTTAGCTCAGTGGGTGGTCTGCCTCCATACGGGCAGCCTAGGGTCAGCCCTCCCATTTCACTGGGGGTAGTCCAGGCGTGCAGAGAGTGTGACCTGCCCCTCACTGTGTTCTTTGGGGCCAGAATCAGCCCCTCTTGGTATAGTGGCTTCGGGACCAATGCATTACACAATCCACACCCTTGTTCCTTGCACATACAGGATTTTACTTTGATCTGTGTGGTAAAAGTCACACACAGAGTGCTTTGTGATTCTCTTATCTTTCTTTTTTTAAACAACTCAGGTAGTGGAAGTGAAATTCAGTTTCTCTCCGAAGCCCAGGATGACCCACAGAAAAGAAAACCAGACATCAAAAAAGCGAAGCTGATGCTGGGGTGGGAACCTGTGGTGAGTGTGGCTGCACCTCACAGGGACGTCTCCCACAGCCCTCGCCCCCTCTTGGTGCAGCCTTGGTGTAGCCCCTGGGGTGGGGCTCCAGCATGTGGGCAGACCAGGCGCGAGGGCTCCTCCAGCTGGCACACAGCTTCTCATCATGCATCTCAGTCACCCTCACAGGGGGACGTCTGGGGCCACTGTGGGATCTGTGCTCGAAAAATCATGCATGCATGTGGCTCAGCCTGCAAGCAGCCTCAGGGGTGTTAGCTGCATGGGCTTCAGGCCTCAGACAGCCCTTGTAGGCCTGCCCGTCCCCTCAGCCCTGGATGACTCTGGTGGTGCAGGGCCAGGCAAGGTGCCCAAGCCAGCAAGTCCACACCAGGGCCCACTGAGTCAGAAATGGGAGAGAGCAGAGGCAAGGGGAGAGGGGGTGCTCCATGCCTGCCTGTTGCTCTTGACTCTTGTGGCCGCAGGAAGCTGCAGGGTCCCCCTGCCTTGAACTAGAATGCCTGTCCTCCCAGGCTGGTTGTCCCCAGGCTGTGTGTGGTTACTGCCTTCGTGTCTTCAGTTCAGAGGCCACCTCCCTCAGGAGACCCTCCTGGTGGCTGCGTCTGCAGGTGTCCACTCACCTGCTGTGTACCCGGTGTTCATCTCCATTCCTTAATTGCTCTTCTCCCTGGCCTCTGCTGGCATGTGTCCTCCCAGAGGGTAGGGACGTGGGGCCTGTGCATGGCAGGAGGTTTAGCACCTGCCACTGAGCCTGTCACACAGTAGGTGCTCTGTGAGTAGGACCGTCCTTCGCATGGCTCTGGTTGCTGTGGCCCCTGTGTCAGGTCACAGAGAGGAGGGGGCACAGACAAGCGCTTTTAAAAACGGACATCATAGTGTGGACAAGGAAAGTAAATGTACCCTTTACCTTTGAATTCTTAGCTGAGACCCTGTAATGAAGGACAAATTAACAGGAGAAAAACAAACAGAAGTGTGTTAACACATATAGCTCATATATACATGAGAGATATCCAGGAAAAGTAAGTAACTCAGGGGTGGCTCTAAAATCCAGGCTCAAATACGATTTAATAGGGAATAAAGGGTGGAGCATACAGGCCTCTCAGGAGAGATTAAGTGATGTTTAGGGTAGATGCATGGGCCCCTAGAAGGGCAGATGGGAGGGAGGTGCAGTGGTCTGTGGTAAAGGTTGTCTGGTGTCTACTTCTGGTCTTCTCTCCTGGGATGAGAGTTGGTTCTCCCTGGCTGATGACACTCTGGGGAGCAGATTTATGACAATTGAATCCCTTTTGGAGGCTCTGTCTTGAGACAGATAAGGGGAGTTCAAAGAAGGCCTCTTCCTGCATTAGCTGCCTTTCAAGTGCCCATAGCTCGAGATGATCAGATACCTAAGTGGCAGATCTTGGGGTGTCCTAAGCTCCTGCAGTTGTCTTTTGGGGTGGCATGTTCTGCTACCCCTCAGAGACCTGAGTGAATAGAATCCTAGAATGTTAGGCCTTAAAGGAATGTGGGAATTCCAGTCTGATCCCTGTTTCATCCTGTGACCTACAAGGCCAAGTGATCTGCTAAAGGCTGCAGAAATTTGTTGAATGAAATAAAAATATGATCATGCCCAGAGTCAGAAAAGCTAATATGTAATAGCCCTCACTGTACAAACAGCTTAGAGCAAGCGTAGATCTTCATTTTTAGAAGGAATTTGCTCACTTTTGTGAATAGAACCTCTGTTTTAACCAACATTTTTTTGACAAGTTTAGTGCACATTCACTCCATAGTAATTGTTGCTTTTACATTAGATGAGGTATGTACACAGGTTGGTATTCTTATTGTCTGGAGTTTAAATGTACAATATTCTAACATGTTTAGAACATGAGGCATTGACCACTAGTTTTTCTTCCTTCCAGTAGTTTTAATTCCTAACAAATTTTTGAGGGATCTTGTTTAAATGAGCTTTCAGTCATACCCACCTTAATTTTCCCATGTGTGTCTGCTTTTAACAGCTTTGTTGAGGTACAGTTGGCATACAGCAAACTGCCTTTATTTAGGATGTTCAAATTACAGGTTCTGATGAATTTTTCCCTGTGAAACCATCACCGCAATGAACACATCCTAATTCCCAGTAGGGCCTCCCTCCAGCTTCTCCCTTCCTTCTTTTAATAGGCAGCTGATTTTATTTCTGTTAACTCTCTGCTGCAGAGCAACTCCAACTTAAGATGCTCCTTCCTAGTGTTGTCCTGGGTCCCTCTCAGGTCATGGGGTAGAAGTGCAAAAGCAAATATCCTGTGGGGAATGAGGCACAGGTCAGATACAGATGCTTCCCACAGCATCTTCCCTCCACAGTAGGTTCTGAAGCAAAGGCACATGTGCATTATTTTAAAGTGCTCCTTGTGCCTGAGTCAAGCTGAAGTAGACATTAAATCAATAAGGGTTGTTTGGACAGAGGGGCTGGGGTTCATTTTATGTCACTGAGGAGTATAATTTGTCAAAGTACACAGTGCAGTCTGAAAGCAGCTTTGGGAGGACGTGGCAATGCTGCTGTGACCCACGTGCAGTGCTGTGTGTGTCCCTCAAGAGCCCCGAGGCCGGCACCTCCCTCCCGTGGAGCCCAGGATGGTGCATTGCTTCAACAGCGACCTTGGCCCTCATTCTCACTCTCTCCTTAAACAGGTCCCGCTGGAGGAAGGCTTAAACAAAGCAATCCACTACTTCCGGAAAGAACTTGAGTACCAGGCAAACAATCAGTACATCCCCAAACCAAAGCCCGCGAGAATAAAGAAAGGACGGACGCATCATAACTGAAAACCTCACTTCCTGGAATGGGAGAGACTCCCTGTACTTGATGGGATGTGGTTTTTTCTTTTCTTTTTTTTTAAAGAAAGACAAAACAGGTGTCATGAAGAACAAACTGGAATTTCATTATGAAGCTTGCTTTAAAGAAATGGATGTGCCTAAAAACTCCCTTCGAAAAACTGCAGATTTTGCCTTGCACTTTTTAAATCTGTCTTTTTATGTAAAATAGTGTAGATGCATCTTTGTGTATTTTCAAGTTTTTATCTTGCTATGAGAGCATTTGTCGTGACTGTCATTGACAGTTTTATTTACTGGTTTCTTTGTGAAGCTGAAAAGGAGCATTAAATGGGGTGAAAATGCGGATTTTATTTATAAAAGTGGGTACTTATAAACGAGACATTCTACTATGCATAAAGAAAAAAAGAAAACCTAGCAGTATTGTCAGGTAGGTGGCACACCGGCATTTATTCTTTGGGCAGATTTTATGTTTCTTTTAATTCAGAATTTTTCCAAGGTTTAGTTTTTAGCTGCAAACTTGACTTTGAAGTATTTTTGTTGGTTATCATGATCAAGGATATTTGAAATCACTACTGTGTTGTGCTGCGTTTTTGGGGGGGAGGGCCAATGTTAACATATTCTTGGTTAACAGTGATAAAAATATGCTATTTTAATAAAATATTGAAACTCACTTTCAGTTTAAAAGGTTGGCTTTCTCCTTGGCATGGCTCATTGTTGGGTTGCTAAGAAAAATAGTGGAGAATTTAATTTAAGTGAAAATTCTGAACACATCCAGGTTGGTATAATAGGTAATTCAATGATGTTGAAAACGTTTATATGCTACTTGGGCTGAATCTGCACATGTAATATTGACTGCTATGTGGGTTGGTTTTCAGATCTTACCCAGAGTTAGAATCATTATGTAGCACAGATGGAGGAAAAGATCTGTGAACTAGGCTCACTGAGTGAAAACTCTGAGAGCTTTCACTTTAAGAATTCTTTCAAGGTTCGGTGTTAGGACTTTTTTTATTTCTATTATAACAAGTGCAAGAAAAATGCAGTAAGTGAAAGCAACACATTTGCAAGTCAGTTGGCTCTGGTGAGCACCCCTACAAAGCCTCAGCCCACACTACAGCGAAGAAAGCATCGAGCAGTTGTCTGTTTCCATAGCTAACCAGGGTAAACCAGGCTCCTGTGCCCTTCAGGGTCACCTTGGGATTCTGATTTCCAGTAGACATGTTTCTGCAATCAGAAATCTCTGGGGCCAGCACGAGGAAGCTGGTTTTGTTTTATTTGTCATGCTAAATTCCCCAAAAGATACTGGAAATGAGGGTTGGTGCTGAATTGGACATGCTGAGAGAGAGGACTCCAGGATATTTCTTATTTTTAATGGTCATCATCACTTAATTCAAGCCCACTGAACACACCATTTACTGAGCAGGGATGAACAGAGCTCAGCGGTGAGTGTGGGGCTAGTATTGGTGACCCCCAGCATTGAATAAAGAACACAGACAGAGGGAGTTCTGTGGAGCTTGGCTGTGCAGTACAGTTTGGGAGTCTCCCAGAGCCCTGGGGTCTAGATTTCTTTAAATAATTGCTTGCTAATTTCTGGAATTCTTCTGTGGGCCTCATTCTTTTGGTTTTCTTCCCCAACATTTTCATTAAATTTTTGGGGGGATGAGGTAAAAGAGGAGGAAGGATCATGTCTGTTTCACCCCAAGGAAAGAAGTAATGCATCCAGGGAAATAACTAAGCATATGAATGTCCCAGGGAGAGGAACATTGTTGGAGGATCCTGGAATGGGGTGAGTGGGGGACATGAGCTAGAAGATGGCAACCCTGCATTTCAACATTGGCTCATGATCTGGGCATCACTGCTGTTGCTTGTGGACATGAGATGGGTGCAAATCTTACTTCAGCAACTGTCAGTGGGCTCAAGCAAGGTGCAAACTACAGAGCCAGAACTCACTGGGTTTCAAGATTAACCCATCTGTTTTCTCTTGGATATGGAGCTCGACTTGCTGGCCCCAAGTAGGCTCTGCAGCATCATGGCTACCTCGGGAGTGCCAGTGGAGTTTTGGATCATGGCCCTGGCACTGTATGACTGACACTCGGTTGATGGTTCTTAGTGTGTGTGAGCTCAACTTCCTTCTCAACCAGAAGTTATGTTAAATGAGATCCTGATCTGGCCATGACAGTGAGTTACAATTTGGTTTCATAAGAGAGACTGGGAAATTTGGAAAGTCCTCAGTGATTTCCTGGGGCAGAGGAGCAGTGAATTTTAAAATCTCAATCTGTATGTTAAGGGATTTGTGTGCTTTACCCAACTTTCTCTGTGGTTGATTGCTGCCTTTCATAGGGAATCGAAAAATTGCATTGCCCTGAGAACTGCAACCACAGTCTGGGGGTGGGGGCACGCATTGCTTCAAAGGCCCCAGCAGGGCTTTGTTGTAATTACAAAGATTAACCTGCCTGTTTTCTCTTTTTCACACATTCTAAACTGTGTCCTGTTTGTATATCTTAGCCACATTGGGAATGAGTCATTTTTACCTATAGCTGTGCTGTGAGAGGGAAAAAAGTAGGGATTTTATATTATTAATTTTTTTACCTTAGGTGAGGGCAGTGTTGGGTGCAAGGGGGGTTGGTTTGTAGGCATTTTTATTTCCCTTTGTCTGAGGCTCTTGACTCAGAATCCCAGCAGGCTGTAGTGGTTAAATAGTTTCTCTTGTGGGCAGGCCTTTTTAGGAAGAGCACATGCTCTGATGTATTTCAAAATGGTTCTTTTTCCCCTCCCTGAGGCCAGAAGCAGAGGAGATTTTTTCCCTGTTCTCACTCTAGTTGAACTCCCGGAGATAAAACCTACAAAATTATAGGGTCCTTCTGGATTTTCTAATTGAGTCTTGTCCCGACTGAGCCTCCAGCAGCTTGTCAGTCACCTTTGGGCTTGCCTGCCCCGAGCCCGCCCTGGATGTGCAGAGGGTGCTGCTCTGGTAAGTTGGCATTCTCTGTATCTGCCCGTCTGTTGGTCTCTCCAATGTTGGAGAGAGAAGTTTGCCCTGGGACCTCATTTCTCTGATGGATGTGTAAAGAGGCGTTCAGGTTTTGGTATGTCCTGCTTTTAGCAATTAGAACAGAGTGATGACTTCCAAGCTCCTTATATGTCAGTGAAAGGGTTTCTTAAAAATGTTTTTTGGAAGTCTTATTATTTTGGTATATTTTGAATTTTGTATTTCTGTCTTTTTATGCATTTTATTTGAAGGAAAGTGTAATGTAATGTGGAGTAAAGACACAGATGTAGGAATCAGAATAGATGGCTTTACCATTTACCAACCATAGGAGGTCAATTTTTTAAAAAACTAAGATAAAGAAAAACAAAGAAGAGACTTCCATTTCCAAGAAGATGGGACAGACACCCTTTCCCTGTTCTTCCCACTAAGTAATATGTAAAGCAAACACTAAGCCTCTGAAAGAGGGTAGGAAAAGGCACAATGCCTGGGAACCTCAGGAAGGGTATGGCAATGGTTTGGGCTGACTTATGACCTCCCAAAATTTACATGTTGAACTCCTAGTCCCAGGACTTCAGAATATAGCTGTATTTTGAAATAAGGTCTTTGAAGAGGTTATTAAGTTAAAAATGAAGCCTTTTAGGGTTGACCCTAATCCAATTTGACTAGTGTCCTTAGAAGGAGGAAATTTAGGCGACATACATTTGCACGTGCAGAGGAAAGATGTGAGAACACAGCAGGAAGGCAGCCGTCTGCAAGCCAAGGAGAGAGGCCCTGGGAGAACCCAAACCTACTCACTTCTTGATCTTGGACCCAAGCCTCCAGAACCATGAGAAAATTAATTTGTGTAGTTTAAGACACCCAGTGTCTAGAATTTTGTTACAGTAGCCCTAAGAAACTAATATAAGTGGTGTGTTCCCTGGGTTTTCTTTTCACCTCATATGTCCCGGACCTGGAGCTGGAGAAACCAGCAACCCTGAAATGCTGGTGGGCACAGTCAAAAACACCAAGACAAATCGGTTCACTGTAGCTGATGTGCCAGGAAGGAGGCAGCCTAGTGGAACAGATAGTGGCTCTACTCCAGCCAAATAACAGCAGGAAAAGTATTGCAGCCCCAAACCCATTCCCACCAGCAAAGACCCAGTGGGGTTTGGAGTTCCACCATTTCTTGGTGTAACACAACATCTCCACCTCCTCCTCCCCTCCCCTAAGGTAGTATCAGAGAAGGCTCATAGGAGCTAGAGGCTAGAGGACCTGAGCTGGGACTTGTGTCTCTGGTGGATGGTAAGGATCCCAACTCTCTGGTGTCAGAAGGCCATGTGGGGAGCCTGGACCTGCACCCCCCATTCAGCAGTATTAATGTGCCCCTTTCACTCCCTACTGGGGATGATGAGGCCTGGTGGAGAATCAGACTTGCTGCATTTTAACTGATCAGCAGTAAAGGAAATGCCAGTGGAGGCCACGTGGGCAGCCGTAATAAGGAGTCTGGACTTCCACCCCCACCTGGCAGTAAACAGTCCGTGTTCTCTCTTTCACTCACTGGAGCAGTGTCAGGAAAACACATAATCTTGGTAAAGCACAAGATTTAAATAAGACCCACTTTTTGTAGTAAAATACTCAAAATGACCAGTTTTCAATAAATCACATGAAGAACCAAAATCTTAAACTGAGTAAGACAATCAGTAGATGCCAACACTGAAATGCAGTAACAGATGTTAGAATATCTGAGAAATACTTGAAATCAGGCATCATAAAAATACTTGAGCAATTTTAAGCATGCTTGAAACATGGGAAAATAGAAAATATCAGTGAAGAGAAGATATAAAAACTAAATGGAATGGAACTTTAGAACTGAAAAATAAAATATTCAAAAAGCTCTGTGGATGAATCCAACAACAGTGTAGAGGACAAAGGAAGGAATACATGAACTTGGAGCTAAAACAACAGAAGTTACCCAGTATGAAGAATAGAAAACACTGAAGAAAGTGAACAGAGCTTTGGAGATATGTTAAACTATAACAACAAAAAATATCTAACTGCCATGTCATTGGAGTCCCAGGAAGAGAGGGTGGAACTGAAAAAATATTTAAAGAAAAAGGGCTGATGATTTTGTGAATTTGGCAAAACAACATAAACCAACAGACTGAAAATACTGAGTGAACCCCAAATAAGATTAGCTCAAAGAAATGTGCTCCAAGATACATCATAGTCAAACTGCAAACTAAGGCCAAAGAAGACCATCTCAAGCAGGCAGAGGGAAAGGACCCATTGCCTCTAGAGGCAAAACAACTAGAACAGCAGCAAGTTTCTTGTCAGAAACCAGAGAGACCAGAAATAAGTGGCACATTTTTCAAGTGCTGTAAGAAAAGAACTATGAATCTGGAATTTTATGTTCAGTGAAAGTATCCTTCAGAAATGCAGAGGAAATGAAACCATTCTCATATGAAGGAAACCTATGAGAGCTTTTTAACCAGCAGACCTACCCTAAAAGAATGACTGTATAAAAGTATCTAAACATAAAGGAAATGATAAAAGAAGGAAACTTGGGACATCAGGAAGAAAAAGAAACATGGAAAGAGCACAAACATGGGTAAATAGGCTCTTGCCTGTTAAGTTTTCTAATTTATGTTTGATGGCTGTAGCAAAAATTATAACACTTGTGGTTTTCAGGGTACATAAAGGGAATA